AAAAAAAAAAAAAAAAAAAAGAACAAAGAAGGGTGAAATACATTAAAATAAAAAGAGGTTGTTCACTTTTTCCTCTAACCTTAGGAGACTGCAGCAGGTAGGTATATGGTCATTTAGGTTTTAGTTTCAACCTTTTCTTCCTGCATTTGCACCAGAGAATCATAAAATATTAGAACTGATTTCAAACCACTTATTTTACAGATGATGAACATGAGACCCAGAGAAGTTACATTATTTAGCTAAGGGCCTAGAACTGAACTCCTATTCTGTTTACCTCCATTGGTTGCTCCACTATAGCTGCATTTGCACAAAGGGGCAGGACAGAGGCTGTGGACCTCTTCTTGGAGAGCCTATGTTATCTGGCTATATTTATGCAGCCAGATGGTGTACCACATGGTGGCTATGCCCTGGGTCAGTCCACTAGAGAAGTGGAACTTACCAGCTCCTTGGGACTCTCCTGCTCCTCTGGTACGGACACTTTCAGGGGCAGGCACAAGTCAGGGGAGCGCTACCACGCTTTCTCCTAAGGAAACATGCTCCTCAGTAACCCTTTGGGTTTAGGAAGTGTGGCGGGCATATTTCAGACCAGCTCAAAACTTCTCCCCTCCATTGCTTAAGTGACAAAAGTAGGTACTCAAACAGCACAGAGTGTATCATGTTTGTTTTGAATGAAAAAATTTATATAAAAACCAGTTGTTAAGCTTTTGGGGTTTATGAACCCCTTTCAGAATCTGAAGAAATCTTTCTGTAGAAAAATGCATACAATTTATAAATTTGACACACTTTCAAGGATGTCATGGACCACTTCCCATTCATGGGCTCTTAGGGTGTCCTTAGACCACTCTCTATCTACAACTAAAATGATACTAACAGTAGTTCTAAGTGGTAAAATCCTAGAGGACTCTTCATTTTTTAATCCCTTTTTATATTTTCCAAATTTTCTATGGTGACCATGTTTTGTTTAGCCTAATCAGAAAAAGTGTTATAAAAAAACTGAGTTTTAAAAGTACACACCCCAAACTCTTGTCATCTGTGTTCACGCATTAGCTTTGAAGAACCCCAGAGGCCTCCAAAAAGCCCAAACACACAAACTGCTCCAGTGAATTTTTATGCTACTGATCCTAAACTGTTAATATTTTACTATGGCATATTTTACTGTATTTAGGTCTGAGATATTTCAAGTAAAAGACTCAACGAGAAAATTCCAAATCAGCATATCTCATTAGGGGAATATCTAGGGGATCTTAGGGGAATATAACACACAGGAAGAAATATGCCTCAGAAATTACTTCAATACGTGACATATGACATAGCCTTAATGGTATTCCACCCCAGACAAGACATTCCTGTCCTCTCACCCTCCCACCCAGGTCTGTGAACTTGAGTTTCAAAGCCAGGAGTCTCCTCTTTAGCATACAGAAGCCCCACGGCAGTTTTCTCTAAAGGGCTGAATAAGCCGGTAAAGGATCAGGAGGGATGTAATAAACCATGTCAACAAGGCCAAGCCGGCATAGCCACAGCCTCACCAGGACCAAGATCTGACTGATCAGCCAGTAAGAGTTCAACAGATAGACACTATCCTGGAATTCCCTTTTCTATTATGGGTTATGAGTAGAAATGGGAGTGGGGGCTGCGTAAGCCCATGAGAAAAGTTGGGGAGCTACTAAGCTGAGATCATCCAGAGAAACAACTACCAGTTACTGAGCTGCCAGAGGAACTACTGCTGGCTCAGCCCAGGGAGAGGTGGGGAAGAGCCCTGCTTACAAGGACCAAATATGCACACACGCACATAAACCCATCTACCCATCACCTGCTTGGCTGCTGAGGACAAGACTGCTGTAGTGCTTTCCACTACAAGAGTGCAGTCTGGCGGAGCAGAACAAACAGGCAGGCAACTCTGAGTTCAAATTTAGGTTCTGCCACTTGGTAGCTACGTTGCCCAGGACAAACTCCTTAATCTGAGCCTCAGTTTCTTTATCAATAACAGAGATATCAATACCTACCTTTCAGGGTTATTGTGAGGATTAAATGAAATAACGTATGTGATATGTGTTAGTAGGCACTCATTATATAACAGGGTAATTTCTTGCTCTTTAGTCAAATCCATTTGCTGCTATTTAGCCACAATCTTCCCAAAACAGAAATCTGACTTCCCAGTTCCCCACTTAAAATATTTCAATGCCTCTCCTTTACACCCAAGATAAAGAGCAAACTCATGATTATTTAAGTTATACATGTCCTGGTTCTTGTCAACCTCTCTCCCTTGCTCTTGTGTGCTCCAACCACATGGATCTTCTTTATGCTCCTGGAAAATGTAATCCTTCCATCTCTAAGCTTTCATACAGGTTGGAAGCCCCTTCTTCCAGACCTGACCTACCTGGTTAACAACTCCTCATAACTTCTTTGGCTAAAATTTTTCTCACCCTCCAGACTAAGTCAGGCCTCCTGACAATGCTCCCTTCACCTGTCTTTCATAGTACTCAGTTTGCTTTATAATTATAGTTGCAATGATTTACACTATGTCTTAGACAGTAAGGTCAAGAGGTAGGAAACTATCCCCTTTCTTGGTTATCATTGATTCCCCAGCACTCGACACCAAGGGCAATGCCTGGCCCATTTTAAAAGCTTCAAACTTTTGTTGAATAAATGAATGAAAGTTCAGAGGAGGGTTGGGAAGCACTAGCTATTAATCTGGTTAGTACCTGCAACACTTAACCACGTTCTGCCTGGCATGCTTATTAACATTTCATTTTTCCTTTCCTTGATGGATTTTTAGCTTTGTTGTATACAACTCTGAATGTTCCACTGCCTCCATATGACAGGCTCAGAGGAGATGATCCATGCTGGGAAATGGCACTGGAATGGAAGAGAGTGTTAAGTGGCCTGAATAGGAAAAGAGAGAAAGGTGAACTCTACCTTGAAGGAAGCTGTGGACCGAGATAAGAATAGGTTTCCTGCCCTCTTTCCTTCTCAGGGGTATTTAAATTGACCTTTATTGGAAGGTGAGAATAGAACAGAGCAACACTTACTTGTTCCCATGAACAAATCATATGATGCTCAGCAGGTGCCTTTTCTATGATGGTGACCTCTGTCACACCTGGGGATGCTTCTGAAAAAGGAAAAAGAGAGTCTGTAGAGTTGCAATTGGCTGGCTCTCACACATTTCTACAATAGACAGGTGAATGTGCTCAGACCAGAGAACGTGGACATCTACAGGACTTAAAAATTGTGGCGACAGAGCCAGACAAATTTACACTTAATGTGTAGGATTTTTTGTTTGTTTTTGTGGGTTTCTTAGGATTTTTTTTTTAATATACAAGATTATGTCATCTGCAAACAGCAATAGTTTACTACCTTCTTTCCAATTTGTTTGTCTTTATTTTCTTGGCTAATTGCCCTGATTAGATTCTCCAAAAGCTGTTGAATAGAAGTGGTACGAGGAGAATTCTTATTGTAACGAGATGAGTAAAGATAGCAGGCCTCATATTACAACCTTTAGAAAGGCCTGCTTGTAAGGCTGGTCCATGGCTGGCAACTGGGAACTTGGATTTCAGGAGGGTTCCTAAATTCCCTGGTAAGAATGGCTCATTGTGCCTAAATGTTAGTGCAAACAATATTATTTATGCTGAACACCTGCTTTCCTTCTGGGAGCCTGGAATTTGGTCCATACTAGGTAGAAGGTATTTAAGTGACTGATTTACAATAAAAGGTGTGAAGTCCTTAGTGCAGGTGAGCTTCCCCAGTAGAAATTGCAGACATGTTATCACGTTGCTGGAGGAATTAAGTGCATCCCATGTGATTCCACTGAGGACTCTTGAAAACTTGCACCTGGTTTCCCTGACTTCCCCACATGCACTTTCCTCTTTATGTTTGCTATAAAGAATCACAGCAGGACTATCTCCATGTCCTGTAATCCTCTTAGCGAACCACTGAACCTGGGTGGTCTTGGGAATGCCCATAATACTTGTCTTCTTCCTGATCTTAATGGGAAAGCATCCAATTTTTCACCATTTAAGTATGGTGTCAGCTGTGGGTTTTTCATAGATGTCCATTATCAGGTTGAGGAAGTTTGATTTTTATTCTATATCCTGTTTCTAGTTTTTTGAGTGTTTTTTTAAAAATCCTGTAATGGTGTTGGATTTTGTCGAGTGCTTTCTCTACACCTATTGACATGATTATGTGTTTTTTGTCATTTATTCAATTAACAAGGTGCATTACATTAATTAATTTTCACATGTTCAAAAAACTGCACATTCCTGGACTAAATCACACTTGGTATATAATCTTTTTCACGTTGGTGAATTTGGATTGATAGTATTTTGTTGAGGATTTTTAAATGTTTGGTTTTGGATAGAAATGTTGCATTTGTGAAGTTATTTCATATCTTTTAGGAAGATTTTGAGAGTTTGCTTACCACAGACCTACCACTGACTTCAGCTACCTCATTTTAAAAAACCCTTTTAACATATTATCTTTTCAAAACAACATACAAACGTGAAAAAAATAAAAATAGAATTGACTTTCAATTTGTGATTATTAACTTGAAATTATGAGGTTTGATTAAATTTATAAAGAGATTATTTAACGGGAGGCTAGATTCACTCACTATACGTTTAATTACCAGAGTTGTTTAATTCCTTAGATAGATTTTGCCTTGAAGTGTCACCAGTTTGCCAAACATCTGAAGTAATGGGTAGAATATATTAAAAGTAAAAATGGAATTTAAAATGTTTAGTCATTTAATTATTCAGGTTTTTAAATTGAACTAACAGTTTAAGAGAAATTTAGTTGGCTTGACTTGAGTAGATTAAACATTAATAAAAAAAAAATAACTCATTTACTGAAAAATTCCTAGAGTTATAGACAATAACGAAGCACGCCTGTAAAATAGCAAGGCTACCTGACTAACCAGGAATATAAGAAGGAACAGAGCACAAGTTTGCCCAAGAATGAGGAGATAGGATAGAGGTGGTCCTGATTAGATTTCTCCTTGCCCAACCCTATAACTTCATTTCTAAAATTTATCACTTCTCCCAACTACATCATGATGTTTCATATCTCATTTACTGCTTTAGGCACTAGGAAATACAGGGGAAAGTTCCTATTCTCATGGACATCTATTACAGAAAAGAGACAAATTTTAAAAGCAAGCAAATAAATAATTCCAAGTAGCGATAAGCCATAAGGATAAAAGAAAATGTAGGCTAAGGGAAAAGAGTGATAAAGAAGGGTGTTACATATAATGAGGGAAGGCTTCCTTGAGGTGGTGATATTTAATCAGAGATCTGAAAGAAATGAGGGAGACAGATTTAGAAGGTAATTTCAGTGAAGGGTCTAGCAAATTGCAAAGCTTAATGTGTTTATGGTACAACAAGGAAGCCACTGTAGCGAAAGCACAGTGAAATCAGAAAGACAGATGTGGGCAGGTCATAAGGGACCGGGTCATGGTACAGTATCTGGATTTTATTATAAATGTGATGGCAGGGGATCCAAGCATGCTATTCAGCCGGCTTAGTCTGCCTTTTTCTTTCTTGGTTATTTGACCAAATCCCATTTATCTTTCAAAATCTAGCGTCACGTGTGGGCTATAACTCCTTAACTCCCCCACGAGGTAAACCACCACCTCCTGTGTGCTGCTTCAGAACAACAACAGATCACTGACCTTCTCTCGCACTTCAGCGGACCGAATCTTTTGATTTTTCCCCCCAGAAAAATGTGTCCATTTCCCCCCATCTTTTGTAGCCCCGGAGTCTAACACAGCGGGGGGTGCTAACTACAGGTATGACACAGGACAAGCACCCCCTCAGCGGCGCAAGGCCAGACTCCTTTGGGTGTTACACGGCGGGGCGTGGGCGCTGTTGCCCTGGGAGGTTGGCTGCGGCATTCTCCCAGGTCACTGTCACCAGAGGAAGGGTTTGGGCTTCAAGGTTACTCCCTGGGCCAAGAATGCACCTCGGGAAACCCAAACCCCCGACTGTCAGGTGCCTTCTGCCGTCTCTCTGCACGCTTCTGTCCATCCTCACCGGGCGAGCGGGGCGACCTCGGGTGGGGAGAACCTCCGGGCGTCCCAACTCTGCGTCCCAACACTCCCTTCTCCTCCTTAACAACGGAAGTCACAGCAGCGATGCCCGCGGGCACGACAAGGTGGTGTCCCACTCCGAGCTCCCAGTGCACGCCGCCTCGCCCTGCAGCCGCCCCCGGCCCCCCGCCCCGCTCACCTAGGATGCGGGTGATCCCGAGCGTCAGCTTCTCCAGGTGCGGCTTGCTGGAGCCCACCGGCGGAGGCGGCGGAAGCGGCTCCTCCATGGCTCGCGTCCCGGCTCCGCGCGCAGCCCGGGCTGCCGAGGGGACGGGGCGGGGGAGCGGGGACCTCCGCAGGGCTGGACACCGCCCCCGAGCCTCCGCCATCACGTTCACGGCATGCCGGGAGTTGTAGTGCTCAGCGCTTGAGACCGAGGCGCCGCGGCGATGGGGAGCCGGGGCTGGTCTGGGACCGACGGTCCCGTGGGACGCACGTTCCCGCCGCCTCGGCCAGCGCTTCCCACCAAGCCGCCG